GCTGATGGGGATTCGAGGTCTAGCGACCGCTTTGAGGAAGACGGGACCGGTGACATAATGAGAAACTTCGGAGCAGGTTGAGGAATGATTTATTTGGTGGAATGCAGTTGAGAGTTCTAGGGTAGTAGGAGAACTACGGATTGTATTAAGATAGTCACAGTCAGCCTCAGATACCTATGTGGGCTGGTAGTTCAGATGGGAAGGTGGAAGCGTGGAAGCCTGGAACAGTGGTTGAACGTTGGACGGAACCACTGTGGAGATGAGGGCTAAGCACGCTCTACAAACTGGGGCTAGCACTAATTAGGCCTACTGGAGAAATGAAAGCCTGTTTGTCACCGTGAAAAATAGCTATCTAGTATAAAAAACCTGGTAAAGGACCTATGGATGGGCTAGAATAATGGAAAAAAATCTACAACACCTGACCTTGAGGTTTTGGTTTCGCGCCGGGTAACCAACTTTCAAGCTCACAGGTAAACGAGCTGGCATTCGGATGTGTTGAATTTCGAGTAGTATACTCGGTAATTAAGTGAACGACATTGTCTGCAGCAGAGTAACCCGGTTTCGTTTTGTTAGCCTGTGCCATACCCATCTTTGAGATGGGTTTAAGTTGAGTCTCAGGAGAGCCCCAGCTTCGGTCCACGCCGGCGACCTTTCAGATCTGCCTTTGGGAATGTCTCCTTTCTCCAAAGAAGGGAAGTGTGAGAGATCTGGTGTTATCGCATTTCCTGTTGACGTCAACGCAATGATCAGTGGTCACTGGAACGTACTTCGTGCTCAATGTCTGTGTGCGGAGGACAGTAGGTAGAGGAATATTATGTTGGGCTCAGATACAAGACTTTTTTAAGTATATCTCCCTCAGTCAAGAAGCAAAATGCAAAATGTTTGTTATATTTCGTTTGGCTTGTGATGTTCACGTAGCATTGACGTGGATTTCATATACACTATGCCAAACTGGTGACAAGTTTCCCACTGTTGTGTACGCTAAGCCTGTTTGGCAGATGGTTGCCAGGGTCAAGTCTGATGACTACAAAACGCGATTTGAGACCCACGATTTCACGCCCCAGACTGCTTTCCTCCCATGGGAAGCTTGATTTTTATACCTGGCTTGACTGGGATCTTATCGATAGAGCTCAGTCCGGGTCACAAATACGGAGCGGGTGTAGAAACAGTAGATCTACAAAGTCACTGCGAACACGTGCACCGAACAACCATGTATATGTGGGTACCCGATTCCTTTCGCTTGTATGTGCCTTTTTATATAAATCTTTGTATTGGCATTCTTGGTTATGATGCTGCAACCTCGAAGAGCGAAGTTGGATAGCCTTTCACATACTTGCCACTGAGATCAACCGAAGAATTCTGAAAGATAAAACCAAAGCTAGCCGGGATGCTTGGGTAAAAATCCTAAAAGTGTACGTCAACTCACGAGGCTTCAACTCGTCTATTAACTGCTAACTGAATGAGAATATACTGACCGATATTTCGGAAAATCAAACCAGCTAAAACTTTCTGAATTAATTGAAAGGCCAATAGGTTTTTCACCATTGAACCAGCAAGCATACGGCGGGGACAGGGTAAGAAGATTTTCAAGCTCAGAGAGCACACATTCATTAGACAAAACTTTTTCGCCTCCGAGGGGACCTAATTCTTACTTATGCCCTGTTTGAACAAAGCTTGGCAAACAGGTTTTTTGCCGTTTACCCAGCAAACACACGGCGGGGAGATAACAAGAAAATTTTCAACCTCAGAGCACACACACTCATTAGACAAAACTTTTTTCCATTTCGGGTAGTAGGTGCGTGGAATGACTTTCCTCCGACGGTTGTTCACGCTCCCTCTAGAACCCAGTTTAAAAGGCTATTAGACATTTATTTATGGGAATCCTCGCGCTGGCGAGCATACTGCCCCGCGCTGAGGACATAAAGAGCAGTGCTACACCCTTTTTTCACTTTTGCCTTTCAGGTGAACGACAGCCGTTGAACGACAAGAACGTAACCGACCCGGGAAACTTGGGCAAACGCCTCGGTCCGTGTATAATTCCGTGAATCAGCGACACCAGGAAAACACAAATCAACAAAATGTGTGGGACACCAAGTGTTCCGTGCTCTGCGATGCGACTTGGCCGAAGCCTGGAGTTACTGCTCAACATGAAAAGGCCTCATTGTGCTCGATACTCTGGAAAACTAAAACTTGAGACTGGTTTTCGTTTGAATAATTCAAGTCACCGTTTCCCGTCCGTAAATATAAACAACGCGATTTTAAAATTAACGAAGCATGTGGAAAATAACGTAAATCAATGTCATGCCATCAAAACAAGGAATTACAAGTATTGAACAAAATCTCACGATCTGCGTCCGTCTTCGACCGATGTCAACAGAAGAAATCAAGAATAATGCCCTAAGAACCTGCTACAGAGTCGACGAGAAGGCAAGTCTCATACTAAATTAAAGTACACATAGTGCACAGAAGCAGAATAAATAGAAACACCACGTTTCTGACACGCATTAACCATTTCTTCACCAGGTGGTTCGTATTTCTATGGGCTACCACAAACGTATGCCTATATGATCCTATAGAATCATACAGGCATACGTTTGTGGTATACAGATCTAGTGTATACAGATCTAGTCAGAATCTAGAGGTTCCAACCAAAATAGTTATAATGATATCAATCATCATGGATAGGAGTAAGTAAGATACGATCGCCGAGTTAAGGAACGCATGTCAAGCATCTGAGAATTCAATAAGATAACATCATGATGTCATTTGATGGCATTTGCAAATACCATTCCGGTATCAGTCAAACCGTGACTGCTGAAAATGGTTTTAATCACGGGTTTACCATGTGAGGACTGGAAACGACAGATTTATCGTATCCGGTTATTGTTATTATTCTACCTCAAATTTGTGTCAGGTGGGAAGAATGTTATAGCAGGCGAATTTGTCCGCAGTTTTTGTGAGTACAATGAGGAAACCACATGAAATTCAGGTTGACATATAAAAATTTTGTTACAAAAACGGAAAGAGTTACACAGATAGCCAAATAAGGCAACCGTGGTTCGTCTATCAGAGAGAACACTTAAGTAATCCTTTTGTTTTTTTAAATGTTCCATCCGCGATTCTAGGATTTCATCCCCCCAAGTTTCGACAGCTTGACCATCTACTCGCCTGCACGAAGTGGTAAGGTGATGGAAACAAACGTTTGGAACGTTATAGTGCTTGCAGTGAGAAAAGTATTTCTTCTATGGCCTTATACTTATCCTACTGTCGCGGGGCTGCGGAATATAGTGTACACTATGCGAGTTATTTTATGTGCTCAAATTTGCAAAATCGAGGCCGGCAGTTTAATCTAAATACTTGAGCTTGAAAACTTTCATTGCTTTCTTTATGTGGTAAGACAGCAAAAAATACCACGCATTATTTTCCTCTATATGCTTGAGTGCATTGATTCCACCTATAAAAACACAAAGATTGCTGAACGCCAGTAGGCTACACATTTCCCAAGGACAGCTGCTAAATGCAAGCCTTGAAAGAAGCTGTAGACTCTTCTTCCAGTCAGCACGTCTTTCTCACACAAACTGTCTTTAAAAGATTTCCTCCAAAGTATGTCAGTCCTCTGCAAATAATCATCAAGGCGGTTTAACCAACATTTAACCTATCTGGCAATATACCACAGCAAATGCCACCAACATCCACACAAACACGTTTCTAAAAAAACGTCCTTTGGCCCGAACTGGGTGGTGTAAAATGATTGGTTAAAACTTGTGAAATATTTAGTACTGTTGTTTCCAAGAAACAGCGCTTCCTGAATGATCAAAGCCTAGGAACTAACAGGTACCTCCAGGACTTGGATAGATGTTTGATTTAGTGTATAATTTTGGGCTTACTTGTATCGTGAAACTGGTGGAGTGAAATAATCTGCGACAAAGAGCAAACCGGTATCTTTTAACACAGCTTAAAACACATCAGAATCCTCGAGAAGGCGTTTTGGAAACATCTAAAAAATTTTCATACAAGTATTGTGAACGCATTACGAAGAAAACTATCAGTACATTAGAGACCAAAATAGCTCCTGGCCTTTTTGGTTTGCACAATTTTTCGTACGTTTTTAGCTCGGAAACTGCCATTTTACCTTTCAGGTCCACCCAAGCTTTGCACGACACAATAAGGCTTTTAGAATGCTGAACAATTTGCGCAACTGTGCACCATTTGTAATTATGCACACCATACTACCTTGAGAAGAAGCATTTTTAGCCGTTTTTATAATGTGTGTGCAGGTAGAAACACCATATCACAGTCAGTTTAACACGCTTGAAGGCATCTACAAACCTCTTCTTCAAACAGCATTGCCTTTACACACAGAGTCGAGTAAAACGCCATCAATATAGACTTTTCAGGTTCACAGAAAAGGAAAAACTCAAAATTTTACCATGAAGTCTACTTACACGGGAACCTCGTAAATCTGTTCCGAAATATGAAATATCTTGTATAAACCATCAGATTTAAACTGTTTATTTTATGAACAATATTTTTCCTTCATAAACAACTTATATCGCATTTTGAAAATCCTTCCTCTGAAGACTTCCACATTGTAAATTTAGTTATCAACTTTCCAGTGATTTTCCAAAGTCTCCTTAATTCTAATGAAGAACGCTTCAGTTATTCAAGGTTTAGATGAATTCCTGATTGTTCAGAATTCTTTGGTGATAATGGGCATGCCAATAATTGGGAAAAGTTGTCATCCACTGCCTGTAATCTGTGCCACTCAGCATTTCTCCTCCAAAGAACCTCAAGATTACAAGTATGAAGAAGATTAAATCTATTTTGCAGTCCTACTTCAGCATTTGGCGTGCTTGAGATTGAAAGGTTGTTAGCGCGACCAAAAGACTATTGTATCTCTTTTATCAAGTTCTTGGGCCACAAAATCGACTGGCACATTGATAAGTTGCCTATACCTTACATTAAGAATTACCTAGAATGTGCCTTTTACGCACAAAGCAACTGCTCCAGCTATAATTAAGAACTGCTAAGATAAGCGTGGAGAGAAATCAATAACTCCCTAAATGATACTTTTGACCTGTTCCTTTTTTAATTTCCAAATTTATCGTGTGATCCCGGAAAGGTCGCAATCATTTTAGTTTGCCAACAATCCGAATGCCTAAAAGCAATCGATAGTCACTGACACAAAAGTTTTACACTGTAGTGCACAGAGGGAAAAACCAAAAAATTCAATGAGATATAAAATTTGATTTTCGTCATGCGATTATGGATTATAAGTAACATAATATTCTATTATTTTGCTTGCTATCATACATACATTTTGTCAAGGCTTTGACTTTCCAGGAGAATAACATAAAAATCTTTCAATGTATATATTTTCCTGGTTATGAACTATCTTGTCCGTCGTTGGTAGTCTCACATATTCTGTGATTTACCCTAATAGGTTGTGCACAAATATAGTGAGTCGAGCAACCGTCACAAATCAGCTCTTCACTACTGCGCATTCATTAGGTTTTCAATAGGTGTGAATGTGCCATTGTGACATTTGAATATGTTTTTCTTCTCCGGTAACTGTTTTCCTCATCAAACAACCGTGAATTTAATTGTTTTCCATGAATCAGAAAATCATTTAATAGTACTATCTACCATTTTGGTGACAAGCTGCCATGCTACCTAGAGGTGACACAAAAGCTAAGATGGTGTGAGGCTTCTGAGCTCAGAAAGAAACAGTCGAAGTACCGGGATCGGATTTGGACCACTGACTTACCGGTTGGTAAGTTTGCACCTTAGCCACTGAGTTATCTTTAGCTTAGGCCCAGATGAATACATCTATAAGCCGCTATATGTGATCTCCATTTCGCTGAAAAGTCTTGAACGCAAAACTGATTATCTATCAAGAAGAAAAACAATTCAAGATTGTGGAAAACTAGTGGCGAGGGTGTTATAAAAGACGAACTTAAATCGGTATACTAAAGAATAAAAATTTTTCAATGAGATATTCTGAATTTTCTAGGGCGTTAAAGTGTTGAAAACTTGCTGCAACTGACTTGTTATCAGAATTCGGTACTTCTCTGTGAATATCATCGAGAAAACAGCCAGCAGTTAGTCTCAACTGCTTTGCATTACTACGACCTAGACTATTCGAGTCATCTGTAAGTGATACTGGTTTGGTGCAATAGCTTTTTGGTGAAATTAACTCTTACCACCACCGCCAGGTGTGAAAAAATAACCACTATTTTTTTATTGTGCTTAATTTTTTAATGGTGCTTTCTTTGGGTGCACCGTTTGCATGGTCTTACACCTCAGAACTGTCGGCTGTTTTTCCCACCCGAATTATGTAGTGCTCTGTTCACATAGTGTTCACCCACTACACCCATTACCACTCCCTCAGTTTATTGCATGTTTGCTGTCTTCTAAATCTAACCAAATGAGGTTCGGTTGTTTGCTCCAACTGGGAAAAAATGGGGGATGAAGGTTATATGATCACGGCATAAAGCCTTACGAGAAGCCACTTGTAACCACCTGGTGAATATGGTTCATCATATTTGAGGATATCATTTTATTTCAAAATGACTCACTTTGAAAAGAAAAAACCTCGTAGCATTTAACGCAGCCTCAGTTTACACGTGACAAACGTTTACACTTTTGCTGATTTTTTGTTCCATCATTTGAAGTCACACAGCGACTAATGTCCACCTATCAAGAAGCCTACGCGTTTTTCGTCGTTTGATAGCAGAAGCCATTGAATGGACAGCAAACAATCTCAAAAATGATCTAGATATTCTCTGCAAGATTCTAGTGTACTTACATGACCATGCAGGTGGTGAACCTATGCATGGTGTGTACACGCTTCGTTGCAGCCCAGGGCTGAGAAGTAGATAATAAGCCTCATAGATTCAGGTTGACCGGATTTCTGCATGGCAGGTGTGTAGCTCCCAGAGATCTGCAAAAAGATGATACACTCAGTCATCCATGAGTGTTTGGGAAATTTAATAGATTAATGGCTGGTACATGGTTTGAAACATAACGGCTTCCTTTATGGTGACAAATATCTCATAACAGAAGTAGTGTTATTATCATGGATCCTCAAAATACTGCTGGAATGACAAATGAGTTTTAGCGGTTCTCAAATTTACTGCATTTGCAGAACACATCTACTGACTTACATTACGAAATATGCAAGTTCCTGTTTTTATAAGCGAAAATTAGCGGAAAACTTGGCTGTGGCAACGCGCAAGAATATGCTTCTAGTGGAGTGATGCTGAAATGTGGTCTTTAGTGGTTGTTAGGCCTGTAAGAGGCATAAGGATGCTTGCGGCGTATTACGACATCAGAACTAATTTGGATAACCGACCCAAATGCTTCAGTAAAAAGGTGGTGCTGAATTAATCGGTGTAATGTGATAGTTTTTGGTCTCCCGTACTAGGTATTTGGTTTATCCGCACAGGTCACGCTTTAATATCTGAATGTGTATCCATAAAGCTCTTCAGGAGGAGCATCTCCAGCTACTAATAAGTTTTTGGTGCAGTCCATTTATGTGTGAGACTAGCTGAATTTGCGTCACAGTGTTCGGCAACAACTATATAGCAGTATTTCTAGTATGTCGTTCCTTTTCCTCCGGTTCTCTTATGTGCTTCAAGCACAGGCATCTTGGAAATGCTAAGAAATCCATCGTGTCTTAAGTTTCCTGCTAATCTGGGTTTATTCCTGCGGATTGAAATCTGGTGGTTTATACGCAAATTCTGGGCATTTTCGTACAACAGTTCGAGATAAAAGTGCGCAAGTCGGGATTTTGAACGGGGCTCTTGACAGAGTCAAACTACGATCAGATGAATAACTATCAAATGACATGTTGATTCCCATAGTGAATCACCATGGTCTAGTTGTGCAGAGCTGAGAAATGTCTAATGATTTCAGAAATTTTTCTCAACAGTCCCATTCGTTTTTTCTTCCGTTTCTTTCTTGTATTTTTTAAATTTATGATTCAAAAGAGTCACCATACAGTGGTTTGTTCATTACAGTACTGAAAGTGTTTAATGGGGGTTTTGCCTCGTAAGCGCAACTAATTTATACTAAAAAGTCGTCTCATAATTACCGGAAATCATCAGCAATGTGCATCTCACCAAACCCCGGAGCAGTCTCGAACTCACAGACACTCGGCTGGAATCTTAAACGCAAATCTCCGGCCACGAGCGGCTGATCAACAGTCTGATTATGTAAGTTATCTGGCGGATGGATGAAATTTGCCCGATGAGTGAAACTTCGTCGCCTGAGGGTCAGTCAGCACGTATGACCACGTAATTGATAGACGAGTGGCACTATGTCCTGGCTGAATGCTAATTAGTGGTACTGCTGATTAGAAGTACGTGTCTGAATGGTCAAGCATTCAGTCTACTGGTCAGAGTTTTGCGGGTCTATGCTGCTTGGAATTTTGTCAGATGAATATTGATGATGTTTTTCATCGAGGAGGAAACAGCTGTACAGTGCTTCTCGGCCTTTTAGCACATGTCATCTCCATTTACAAGACGAACTCACCATCCACATTTCATCGAGAGGAAACAGCTGTACAGTGCTTCTCGGCCTTTTAGCCCATGTCATCTCCATTTACAAGACGAACTCACCATCCACAATCTTCAAATCTTCTAGTATTGTCGGCATACTGAAACTATGCTAAATGCTTACAACTAATTGTTATATGAGCGTTTGGTTTTTCGCTAATACGGACCAAAGAAATTCACCAACGCTTTCAGGTATCCTGGAAATACACCATTCGTTATAAGCAACATCTGCTAATCTGAACTGTTTCAGCGCAGACACTAATAACTCAATGATTTCTGTACAATTCTCCCCTTTTAGCTTATTTCCTTGGTCGATCCAGCGGATGAAGGAGATGGGGGCCTACGATCAAAACGAAATCGTAATCGCGAGTATACTTTTGATCACGCATTTGACGAAACCTCGACGCAAGTAGGTCATCAGAATTCCAGTAGCCACAGCATACATTTCTTCTCTTCTCAGGAGGAAGTATTTCGGCTCACCACGTTCAGTCTGATTGAACATGTTGCCAATGGATTCAATGCAACCGTTTTCGCCAGCGGAAGTACAGGTAAGCAAAGCTGGCTACGTCTAGAGTGCAGACAAAAAGTGAAATCAAACATGGCACGGTAGCCTTTTTCTTTGTTTCCATGATCGCTAATGGATGAGTACTTCACTAGTTATTCGATAATCAGAGCTCAATTAGCAATTGTTCTTGGTGTTTGCGAATTGATAGTTCAATATAAGAACACTGAGATATTTATAACAAGCAAATATTCACAAACGGAATGCTTAGGGGAGTTCAGCATGCAGACAAAGTGAATGTCCCTTGTATACAAATTGCAAGACCTTTTTTCTTTTTTGATCTATTCCATTTTCACACTAATGATGAACCCTTCTGTATTTCTTGGAAATAGTCTGCAAAAAATTAGTCCACTAATTTATAGACACTACCAATAGAGTGCGTCTCATAAGACTACATATGGCGCTAATCCGTATAGGTTTGTTAATGCATTTCAGTGGCAATATTAATTAATTGTCTGCAGTACTCATTTGAGGCGGCTAAAACAGCACGCGTTCCAGCAACTCTTCAACGATAAATCCGCACGCGAGCCGCGAGTGAGTGACCGAAATTGGAGTTAGGGTGCAGAATATAGACTTCTGAATACCAAAAGATATACATGTAGGCGTATTAGGTGATATGGCTGCGCTTTTTACGCAAAACATAGAGCGATTTTGAACATCATTGCGTCGAAAAACAAACGGTTCGAGCACATATGTTGAGTAAGTGATACGATATGGCATATGGCATATGATAATCTTGGAAAATGATAGAACAAGTGATGTTACAGAAATTTACTATTACCCATTGCAACTAGATGTATCATGCGGTATCAACAATGAACAAACTGGATTTTAATTCTCAAGCAGGCAGTTACTCAGATGTTTTGGGTTAAGATTCTATTACTCTACTTTTCCACACGATAGAACCCATTAGATAAAACATTCCTTGTAGAAGACAGCCTTGGTGATAGGGGAAATTCCCACATAGCAACCTCTTTTTCCTCTACTCAATCCTTTCCCGTAACCATCTATGAGGACAAACCTCCTACTTCTCATGAGTAGAGAGTTGTTCTCTAAGAGGCGGTACTGCAACAAAAGACGTTCAAAGCAATAAATCCATGTTTACTCATCTACAGCTAAATTGAATGGTTGCTATCGCAAGCACTGTTGAAGTAGATTCCTTCAATGGCAACTGAACTAGACTCCGTTCGGCTGATGATTTGGCGTGAGATAAACCCATGGCACCATTCTCAATAACATGTCACCATTTTATTGCGGAGAGAACCTGAGGATGTTGAAACCAGGGATGATACCACGGATGAGAACGCAATTCTTATAACGTCGTGGATGAGTACCTTTTTCTGTTGTGCATGGGAAATCTCCTTCCAAATCACCTCACTTCGTACATCCAATTCAAGGCTAGACAGGTGGCACCAAATAACATGATTCCGTTTACATACATGGCGCAGAGCAACGCTTTTTGTACCGCAGTCCACCACGTCGCATTAGCACTTCGTAAACACAGGCTTGACAAATTATTGTGTACTCAGTTATTCTGTCTCAGATGAGGCAAAATATTTCAACACATATATTGTACGCTCCTGTACGACTCGGATTCCATTCCGTAGGTGCAGGAAGTGCACGATACGTTCCCCATTAGCTACCTCATTATCCTACCAAAAGTGGCCACCCCGTTGAGGCATTCGTTAAGGGTAGTTGATCAGGATTGTAGTGGTGAATATTCATTTGTTCTGTTGTAAAATTTTCTAAGTCGCCATAAAATAATGTTGCAAACTTTGCTATCTATCTATATAGCTGTGTATTTATCGAGAAAACTGCATTCTAAATAAAGTGAAACTTGGGTACGTCTGCCTTTCATCAGTAGTCAGCATGGGAGAGAACTGAAGGTTTTTCCAGGTCACTCAAGCAAATGGTAGCCGCCCCAGATTTGTAGACAATGTAAGTGATGTCGCAAAAAGACATGTTGGTGAATAGAGATGTATGTAAAATCTTGTAAAGCGTGGAACAAAAATCTTCTGAATAATCCCTTGTATGCAATAAATTCCATGCAAATGATAAAATCATCTCGGCTGCGTCGACAGGTTCTGAGGGATCCAGCAAAATACACTGATTGGCATGCCAATTTGGTTTTCACGGGAGACTCGTTTGGAACCCAGCTAAATCTCTCGTTGATAATGTTTTTAATTTCGTGAAATTTGGGTTTAAGTAGAACATGAGACTGACGGAAACTCGGGGACTACGCCTACCTGATGAGCCCCAAGAAGAACAAGGCCGGTCGTGGGCTATCGACGAGTTTACAGCAACTCTATGAGTAGTGAATTACGTCCGTAGTTTTCCTTTTCTTCTAGCTCGTTTGTCGTGAACGAAAACCAGATGAACTTTGAGACTTGTGCTAATTGTTTACACCGGTAATTTCTAAGAGCTTATGAAACATACATTGGCTGGCATGTTTTATAGCAAACCTGAAGGATTCAGAAAACACTTAATGGGAATCCTGTCACACATGTGAGAACATTCTCAGTGCAGTCGATCCATTTTTGGAAAAAAACTCCTGAATGGGTTTCCTAATAGTGTTGTGACTTTAGTTATTCTCACAAAACTGTTTTCATGAATAGTAATTTGATAAATCCTGTCAAAAAGTTCTTGTAGATTTTAAGTTCGAAACTTGAGAATGAACAACAGAATCACGTATTTGGTCCGCGAAATTTATAAAACTAGTCTGTGAGGCAAAAAGTTGTGTTTTTGAAATACCTACTTTGAAGAAATTCGACAGAACCTCTCTTCTTTAACGCATCTTTTCCGAATTGAGTCGTTTTTACACTGAGGGCACAGCGATGAGGAATGGGGCATTTGAATCGCATAGCCTAGGTTTCTGCTTACGGTAGGTTCTAGCAAGAAATGCATTGGTCTTGGTTTGTATGCGCGACCGCACGTATGTAACAAAACTTTTCCTTCCTCCATAAATAATTTTCAATATTAAGTTCGACCCTAGCCATATGACAATGCTATGCGTACAAAATGTTATTCCATTGCTATAGTTACCATGAAAGCACCTGCTGTTCAACAGTTGGAGTTTACCACAACCTGGCTGTCTGTATACTGATACAGCGGTTGTACGGTGAAAGTAACATTACGTGAGTAACGATCATCAAATCTGGTCACGTGTTCAAATCTGAAGGAACAAAACAGTAGAGAGCATCATTGGAGTTTCATCTTACATAATGCCCAATGCAATTGTTTGCCAAAAACCGGTGCTAACAGTCGTAACTGCACTTGTTAACTGGGGTGTACCTTGTCGAAGAAACAAAGCAACACATACCAAACTTGGTCGTTGTTTCCGAACTAGCGAAATTCACGCAGATAAACCCGAAATTGTTTTGGCACTGGGCTTCTAGGCTACTGTCTGTTTGCACATGCAAACTAAACCAGGTTACTACTAATTTTATTTAGGTTACTCGGTTTGACTATGACGATTGGTAAAATTTTATCGTAGAATATTCAGCTTTCTTGTGAACCTTTTATCAAGCAAACCGACTGCAACTTTTGTTGGGAAATTTAACCAAAATTGAGGAGATTCCCAAACGTCTGAGCTACACGAATCTAGAACAAAGATGATGCTTCATCGACTGACTGGCTATAAAACAGAGACTCGTATGCAGGTGTCTTGTTTTCTTCTATGTGTGTGTTATGACAGCAATGGGCACCAGTTCAAAAATTACGATTATGGGTCTAAACATTTTGAAATCGCTCTAAAACACAAATCTAAATGTAAAGATCAAAGTAACTACTACGAGAGGTGACGACAAGCAAAAAGATGCTCGGGCTTGCATACGAGGAACCACCAAGGATATTCTGAGAAGTGAATTTCTGAGGAAAGTATATCTATAGATAATAAAACGGGAGTCGAAAAAGGATGGTTCACATTGGATGTACAATATTTTGCTAATTATTTAAGACCATCAAAACGTGAGTTCTGCGGCTATGAGAAATATACTCTCACAAAAGCGTTTTCGAATGACAGAGACAAACTTCCCTCGCTCAGAAAAGTCACCGTTCTGGTAGAGCTTTTTTACTGCGGACACAAAAACTTGCATTTTCAAAGTACTCAGCTTACGGAAATTTCATTTTAAAAGAGCAATGGCATTGATAACTAGATGTGTTCACTACATAGACACCTTGGTCTAGTTTTGGAAACGTATTGCGATCCAAAACCAGAAAACCTACATCATTACTGCATCCAGCCGGTTACGCATGCTCGTCTATTTTAGCAAATATGCACTCATTTGCAAACTAACTTGGTTTTTCGAGTGACTCAACTGGAACTTGTGGTGTTCTCAGGCAACTGAATGTGCTGCACCAGGCCGCCTCATGTTTCAGTCGCTACGATATTCGAGATATCGTGATACATATATATCTTTTGCAATGCACTACTCGTAAGGTTGCCGAAAACTCCTCCACGACTGGCTTCACCTTTGTGGGGGCTTATCAGGTAGGCGCAGTCCCCGTCTACCTCATGTTCTTCTCGAAACTAAATTGCTCCTCGGTTTTGTTTAAATCTTTTGCACCGCTATTAATACTTAGATCAGGGGTAGAGTGTGGTGGAGTTTGTTAAATATGCCACAAAGCATTCCATCATGAATGAGGATTATCTGTTGGGTGTAGTTCTAGTTACTATTTTGGAGAGTTCATTACAATATCACACAGCCAGTAACGGCGTTATAATTCCAGTGTTTTGTTCACTTTTTTCTCGCTGACCGGGGAAGACAGAATGTTGTGTCAACAAGTATATATTATGGCTGTATCCAAGGCACCTACTTCAGTATCAGTAAATAGAAGGTGCATCGTTTGCATGTGTCAGGTCGAGAGTGTCGCCAATATTCTTCCGAAAACTCTATGCATCAGCAAGTGGTTGGGATCAGGAGCATTTGATGAGTACTTCTTCTGGACTGTGCCGAGGAATAATTTTTTCTCTCAGTCATCAGCTTAACTGTATTGCATGCCTTGCTTTCCTGGTAGTCACTCATGACCTAAAATCAGCTGGATAATTTAGACGTCATTAATTAATGAATATCTTTTTTGTTCATGTATTTGTTAATGCAACTGTGTGATTTACGCCCATATAGTCCATATCCAATGATGGGAAGCAGCAGAACCGTTTGTAGGCATCCGCTTGATTTACGCCATACAACCACCGAGCACAAAAATTGTAGCTAAACACCTTTACCATCAAAGTTTCCCTGTGATCTTGTCGATCTCCAAGTGTTGCACTGATTTGTAGATAGCTCCCCAATTATAAGCGCCACTCCTTCATATTCAGGTATTACATTTCAGGAAAGCCGAATCTTGACAAAATGGTAGTCTTTGCTGAATTTCACCCTTTCCAGTCATAGATAAAGCCCGAAAAATTCAATTTGACTGAATAAAGTCTCCCAGAATGATCTTAATGTTACTCGCTAAGTGTTAAAAGTCAAACCGCATACACTCATGCACCTGTTAATCATGTGGAACTCTCAAAAGTCACACAGTTGCAAAAAATCTCAGAAACCCTGACGAAAAACATACTATTCTGTCTTTAGACGAGTCACAACGTAGGAGAGGAGCCTCATTTCACAAATCATTTGACAAAACAGAGGAGATTAAAGCCGGGGGCAATTAAGCAAAGCTAAGTGTGGTATTCTCGCAAATAATCCATCAGAATATGTTGCCATATGTATGGGGCTCTAGATTTTATACGCAATTGTTTATACTAAAATGTTGGGCAACAGATGGAGTATCGCTGGATAAATCATATGGTCCACATTCATGCAAGTCAGCCCAATCTTGGCACAAGATGGTCTCCTTATCAACCCCATGGTGGTCAAACATCGGTTGAAACCTGTCATTATTAGCTTTTTATACACAGTTTGCCACAGTAACTCGTTTTAGACAGATGTGTCAACTTTGTTATATTCATTCTTCCCTCGTCGGATGTAGGCACAGAAATAGAATAATATTAAATACGAGCACCACCCAATCAAGAGGAAAGAATGCCTTGATAGATGATGGGTGGACAAGAGATTAATAAACACATAGGACAACTTTTTACTGTAGTACAGGTCTTTAGCAGCAGGCTTTTGTACGACTCAGGGGAATTGGAGCTTTGTGTGAGAGTAGGACATAATCAGATACATTGATTGGGCTTCTTTACGGGTCTCCCACACCACAAACCCAATGCATACCAGCGGACGAACTTTGGCTAGGTAGTTCTCCCAAGAGGTGGATGACGTTTAGTCACTAGGGCCCCCAGAATACGTGTAAAGTTCCCACAGCACTGCTCTTTGTGCCAACTCCCCAGTGCGTTCCCCCGCCATGATAAGTTTTTCGCAAAGCTCTAACCAACAACAGTGTGAAACAGAAAATCCGGTTCCTTTGATGAAAAGTTGTTGAGTATACATGGTACATGCCCCAGCGATATCAAGAAGATAGACTTTATATCTGCTTTTTTGGTCCGGATTCACTATCAACCATTATCGTGAGCATCTTCCAGAAGCGGACATACGAAATACATGCTACTTCTCATTTCGTTACGGGACACCGGTGATCAGTTTTATGAAGACGCTTAGTAGTTCCAAGCCAGCCATCAACGCTGCTCACAACGTTTTTGGCCAGCCCGAATGGTTTCCGTTCTGGTTTCACTACCTGTCTGTTTTGAAAATGCTTTAGAATGATGATCAAAGAGTGGGACAAACAATCAAAATATAATTGTCAGGGAACATGAACAGATAACCGATAAGACTGCAGTTGTTTACAATGTGTTATAGTGGTGACAAATCTCCATCAGTTATTGTGCAAACCTAAAAATTTTCTACGGAAGACAGTGTTCTGCTCGAAGGAATTATGTTTTTAGGAACTGAGTAGGCTTTTTATTTCAGTATCATTTTTCGTACAGAACGTACGACTCTCTTCCAGATGGAGTGACCTGAAAAACAAGTCAACGCGTAATTTCCGTGCGCAAAAGAAGTCTTCAGGTCGAAGTAATGACTCGATCGATAAAAATTTTGGGACACTCTTTGTGAGCCGGTCGTCTTACCTGTTTCTGATGAAACACCCAAACGCAGCCTCAGAAATACCTGACAGGGTTCCTGTCATACGTTCAGTGATTTAATGAACCACGCCCATCTATCCACCCATTTTTGATGAATTTCGATGTCCACTTACGGGGACATAACAGGAATAAAACGTAATCAGTCTGATCATAACTTCATATGTTTACCGACCGTTTCTGGTTTGCTGTCTTTATTTAAAAGCATCTGTTGGTAAAGACAAATTACGAATGTGGAATTGTCACGATACAACCAAAGAGTGCACACTTACTTAAAACAGGTTAGCGTGCGTCTTGGCCGTTTTCTGATTAGACCACTGTAAACAAGCGAAACCAGTCTGGCTTTTAGTACCGTCCAATTTATTGGATCTACATGGTTCGACCGTGTATGAGGAGGATTCCCCCTCGATCTGTTGTGTACATCAAAATGCGAACCATTTCTCTTGACCATTTTCGATGTATCCGTCTTCTCGAAAGTTTTTTTCAAATGTGTTCGCGGTCTATTTAGGCGATGTTTGGTGATGCACCCCTAACAGCAACGCGTATGCAGTTTCAAAAATTGAGTCAGCAAACCTGTGAAATCTAGTGATGGACGATGAAACTAAAGCCTGCGGTGCGCAACAGGTTACTCATTCAGTTTGGAATTATGTCTCAATTTTTCCTACCAAGGTTCAGGAAAAACACATACCATGGTGGGCACAGATCGTGATCCTGGTATCATGGTACGAGCTATGGATGAGTTGTTCAACTACATGATCCAGACTGAGGAGGAATACACCTACCGTGTTAGTATGGCTTATATGGAGCTATACAACGAACTTATTCGGGATCTTCTCAATCCAGGACCCGATTTTCTCGAGTTACGCGAAGACAGCAAGGGGGTCCAAGTGGTTGGCTTGTATGAGGTGGAACCGACAAATCGCGATGAAGTAAGTCATAATAACTGCGCAGTAACTTTTGGTAGATGTGAGGCTCTTACTATGTTTGACGGAGCAATATTTCCAAAAAAAACGGAAATTTTATAATTTGACCTCCGAAAGATTTTGATCAATGTTTTCTGGGTTTATGTGATCTGAATGAGAGTTTTAATCATTTTTCTGTATGAGCCACTGTACATCTTAACCACTTTATGTTAACTCGAGGAACTCATTTCCTGAAAGTGCATGAGAGATTATTTTACTGGGTATAGTTCTTCAGAAGACACCGTCTTCGCGTTTCGGCCCCAGTCACTGTACTCCGAGACCTTGTTTTGGCTATATTCGTCTCCCAAAAATGATCTGGCCATTATATTTCTGATTCGACTACTTTGTATAATCCTTGAAGGAATTTAAATTGAAGCCAATACCCGCAGTCCGCTCAATCAGTGTCTAAAGTATAGGGTGCTTGTTTTATCACGCTTGCCTGCTCAAACACAGCCAGATATGATACTGATCAAGTAAAAAGCAGCTATTTAAAAAAATTTGCACACATTTAGAAGGTTTGAAATGGCTAGCGCCATGATCGCGCATCACAACAAGCTACGGTGAAACAACCAAGACGTTCTAATTACAGACTGAAAAATATCACATCAAGGTTTCCATCCAACAGTTAGATCTTCTCTAGGTCTCAGTTCTGTGTAAAAAGGCATCTGATACAAACCGTACTCAACTATCAAATATCGATTCACGTGACGTTTCAGCATCCGGCCAGTCCTGATGACCAAATACGCTTTGATAGTGATTTTAAGGGCTCTTCTGTTCAAATCTTTATTCAACACAGAATTCGATAAAAAGCGCTTCATTCAAATATTAGCCATAAATGAAAATGGGACTATTTTTTTCAAATTCTGAAGTATTTCCAATCTACGTCATTATGTATGCACACAGCTGATGTTTTGCTTTTCTGTCCCACAGGTTTTCAAGCTGTTGCAACGAGGCAATCTCAATCGGACCACAGAACCGACGGCAGCCAACATGACAAGTAGTCGATCCCACGCAATACTGCAAATTACTGTCAGGCAATCCCCACGCACTCCGTCCATTCAGGAGGAACTACGCATTGGAAAATTGTTCCTCATTGATTTAGCCGGATCGGAGCGTGCGTCCAAAACTTTGAACCGTGGAAAAAGAATGACTGAGGGAGCACACATCAATAGGTCCTTACTGGCTCTAGGAAATTGCATCAACGCCTTGTGTAAGTTCCACTTGGACAGAAAAATAAAGGCGTGTGAATGTTTGGTTAGTAGCCAAGCATTCAGTACACTAACATCAGAGCATAATCAACCGAATTTACATGCACTGTTAAATTTCTCTCAGCAGTTTGTACAAATTCTGCCCTCAGCATGATTGGATTTCCGGTTTGGTGGTGACTCTTTCCAGTATAAACACACCTTCAGTTGGGATGTATTTTCCTTTGTCTAGCGGACACAAGCAACCGGAAATTCGTGAACTATCGCGACAGCAAGCTGACACGACTGTTAAAAGACTCATTGGCTGGAAACTGTCGTACAGTTATGATTGCACACATCAGTCCGAGCAGTTGGCAATTTGACGAGACGTGCAACACACTTGTCTACGCCAACCGAGCAAAGAGCATCAAGACGAAGGTAGGGTGTTTCACAACGTATACGCCGTTTCCATATTTTCCAAAATTATCAGAATACATTTCATATGTTAGTAACTGTACTTAAGATCTCTGCGCTCCCTATCACAGTTGGCCAGACCTGTCCAGTTGAGGTTAGGTTCGATCAGTTAGTTAGTAAATATGTCTTACCTCTCAGGTGACATAATACACACAAAAGAAAATCAGTTGTGGGTTTTGCTGAAACGCATCCTTTCACGGTCCAACACATGATAATTCTTCGGTAATGTCCCATGTAATGTCATATAATATCATACGCACGTAAATAAATTAAGGAAACACGTGTGACAATAACATGTGAGATGACCATGGCCTGTTAGTTTCTGCTGAAAATCTACAGGTCATGTCCTTATACAAAAAGAACTATTGAACTGTACTTCGCTTACCACCAAATGAGTCATTCATGAGGAGATATATCTAAAGATACCATAGACACTGATCCTTTCTGGGATCTGTTTTTCCTTTCTAGAGGCAGCAGGAGCTTCTGTTGGCAAATAAGTAACTTGATTACTTGTTTTGTGGTCCTCTTTAGAGGTGTCCTTTTATGTAGAGACGCGTGTCATCTGAGAAAGAAGCGAACTTCCCCAGATTGGTTGCCTGTTTCTACTTACCACCAGGGGCATTTTGGAGGCTTTGGTTTATTTATATAAAAAAATATTTTGAGGCCACACTTCATTCATGTAAACTACACGTAAGTCATTCAGTGGACAGGTATAGTCAGTTGTACGTCAAGTCGATTTTGTGCAGAACTAGTAGTGAAAGATGTGTGCCCAGGAATTGTTGGTAACTAAGGTAGTGGATCACATATGCTTGTGCAATCACAGAAGACGATCACTAAACGAGGCGTGTTTACCGTTTGCGATCCGATTTCCAATGAACCCCTAGGAAGTGAGTGTTTTGGCGGTATTAATTACCCTACCTATTCAATAATCCATGCTTTTAAAAGCCAAAAGAACGGGTCGAAGTTTTTGTTACGTTTGTAAGTATAGTAATGAGTAATGGAAATTGAATTCTGCCCTACTGTCTTTGAGGGTTTTTTGCCAACCAACAACAGTCTAATGCGGAATCTTCCCCCATAGACAACCATGTAGCGTTGTGTAAAACCATTGCATTTATATCTACATAGACGCACTCGTGTGTATATACTCATGTGCAAATTAAGTTGGTGTTAAAACCTGACTTACAAAATTATTAGCTAAAGCTTTTCTTACTGTATTCTTCAACTGAACGTGCTGCAAAAACGTAGTTTATTGTTTCTTTTGGTATCATATTCAATATACTGTTTCACAAATACCTGATGAGCTTCAAGAAAGACAATACCTGTAGTGGGTCTTCAAAGAGTTTTCCTAATCAGTCCTCTAGAAATTTCTTAGTCCAAATCAGTAGATTTGGTGTTTCACAACCGTGCTACGGCCGCAAAAGTTTTCGTGTATTCTTAGTGGTGAGGGTCGGTTTGGCGCCATAACTGAATGTTCAAATTAAACACGCGATTTTCGAATGTGCATTAGGATAGTATCGATCACTAGCCGTGAATTTTAAATCATCATCAGGATGTTTATTTGCAGTCTGAGGTTTGAACGTTAAGTAGAATTCCGAACTATTTTCACAGTTGTAAGGTGTCATAACCGTTGACCTCCAGTGTTAGGTTTTGGAGTTTTGCTGGTTGAAATAATCTATCAGCAGCCCAGCCGTTAATACGAGTACTATTTCGCGGATTCCAAGTGCCGGATACTCTTTTTAACAAACATCTAACAAGTCTACTCGGTCACCAAGTGTTTTCTTGATTTCGTCGTAGACAGCTAAATTAGATTCGGCTTCAACTCATGGTAGCACTGAACACATTTCTCTTAGAGGGTAATAATTATCCGAGAGAAGCAATTCATGCTACTTGGTAGATTCGTTTCACTTGTATTCGATAGTGTGGATGAATCATTGTCAATTGAGCATTCGAGTGACTTCCGTCAACACGTGACCACGTGATGCGGCTCCAGGGATTTCAGGATGAGTGGCTCTATATCCTGTTCAAGTTGGAGTTAATCACGATACTGTTCAGCCGCTCGTGGCATTAAGCTAAGTGTTCGTACCGTTAGCTGAAATGTCGCGGGCTCAAAACATCATGGATTTTAGCAAGGGACACACTGGTGATAACTGCAAATGAAAATGAAATTTAGGTTCAGCGGTTTCGGTTAGACTTGCCTAACTTACGGGATGAAATGTTCATTCAAAATTTCATTGTTGAATTGTTTCCCTAAATACAACCATGTTTCCGCAAAGCTTTTGGAACTATGCAAATAACTATCCGAACTGGGCCTGATCCCGGTAAACAAATATAGCGCCACGCAGTTTGGACCGTCTGGTTGATCATTCATGGTTTAACCTACTCAACCTCCACTGAGTCTTTAGAAGCTGAGAATTGCGCTCAGTTTCCAGACCATTCAGCTCTTCGCCGCTTTTTCGCTCGGATGTACACACATGCGCGCCTGCGTTTGCCGCACGCATTATTGGATTAGAAACAACATACGGTGCTTTTTCATTGGGGTTATGGTGTGACAGGCAAATATAAATCACGAACTCAACCTCACTCAGTCACGGACCGGATAACTCACAGGCATAGAAGTATCGGGCAATCAGGGCTGCATAGTTTATTTGATGTCAAGGTGGAACAGAGAGACCGGTTGAGTTGGGACTAGCAGAATGCTGATTTACAACATCAGCGGAAACGAAAACTTCTCTTGAAATTAAAGGCGATTTTACGCATTATGATTGAGACACGTTCGCAAATAGCAGTTTCAGAGAACTTAGCGAATACACACTCATTTGCAAACATATATTTGTACTGCTCATAAGGTTGCTGAAAATCCATCGAGAGCCCACGACCGGTTTCGCCCTTCTTGGGGCTCATCAGGTAGGCGCAGCGCAGTCCCCGAGTTTCTGTCAACCTTATGTTCTACTTGAAACCAAATTGGACCGATTTCGAGAAATACACTCATTTGCAAATCAATTTGGTTTCCACGTGAGACTCAACTGAATCTCTCGTTTGTGATATTCTACAACTGAATGTGCTGCTATTTCTTTTGTTTCACGTTCCGAAATGACGCGTTAGAAAAGTGGCTTAGCCGTATACTTTTCACTGCAAGGTGTTTGATCAGAGCTGCGCCGGTTAGCTGCACCCCGGTTGACAGCTGAACAGCATTCGACTGACCAGCGCTGCAGTTTTTCCTGTTTTGTTAGAACGGCCAATAAACTGGGTCACTGTTTAATGGCTAAGCAGATCGCGAAACAGACAGTTGGTGGTGTGGTGGTGGGACGATGTTGCAAATCAGGACATCAGT